CCACTTTAATGACTTCTATGTTATTTACTATTGCTTTTCCTGGGAAAAAAATCTGGCTTTCGCACATCATATCGTCATTATGCCAAAAGCCCAATCTGTTACCATACTTACAAGAGATTCTTTGTTCTGCATCTATTATCTTATACACTAAATGACATGAAAATCAACTTGAAAGATTCAGGACACTAAATACAAATTCTAGAAAAAACCTAATTGAAGGACCAAATATTTGGAATCTGGTAGTAATTAATAACATCGATTTCAAAGCTTCTATGTTTTCATATGAAAACATTTTTGATATTACTAGAGAAACTTCTCATGCAACACTAAGAATAGTTTTTCAATTTACTTTACCTACCTCTTATGATTTACATGGAGACCAAGAAGCCATTGATCAACCACTGTTTGGTGAATCTTTAACCACCAACAACCTTTTAATGATATATGAAATGATTTTTAATAGAATGTTAGAAATCTACATAAATGACTTTGATATGGAAGATATACATTCAGAAATTATTAAACAAATACCTGTTGGTTGTAATATCTCACCACCAAATGTTGTAATATTGAAACCTGGTGATCCACCTAACTGTAATGATAATGTCCATACAGCGTGTGAAATGTACTGCGATGATTTACTCTGTAATGGTGATAATCGTCTATATATCACATATGACCAAGCTATTTTTGGGAGATTAATTTCTTACAAGGAAACTCATGATGATGTCTGACTTCTTTTGGGACAATGGCATACATCTAAAGATATGTGCTATACCTTAATTACAATATTCTCTGGATATGAAATATTTAATATTGCGGCAACTCTTGGAGTACGATATCTAGACAAGTTTGAGCATGTAATAGATTACTGAGCAACATGTCGTGTTTTAGAATTAATTTGGATCACCGTTGGTGTTTCACTACATCAATATGTTAAAAATAGACAAATAACTATGAATGATATTTTGAGTGAAAATAATAACTTAATAAAAGTATGACTTCTCTTTTTTCACTGGACAGGATATTTTATAGGTTACAAAATTAGAATTAGAAGAGGAAATTATAGGATGCAAATAGCAAATTTAGCTATATTTGCACCTCTCTTTCCTGTGGCTGGAAAGTTTAAGTATGCAAGCTCCGTAGCGCATTTCTTGGCTCAAGTCTATAATGATCCACAACTACAAACATTATTACAAACAGTATGCTTAGTAAATCTTACAAGGGAAGGACATTATTTTGCTTTTGACAAAGTATTTGAAATATATGGTATAAAATATACTAAACAAAATATTACTGGTAATCTTACCGATCAGCAGACTATGATATCAAAAATTCAAGCAGTCCAAAGTGAAGAAAATCATTTATCAATACTTCTTGCAGAATATATTGATGATACTGTAGTAGTTCAAAGTGATCGTGCAATCAAGTTGCGTAAAGATTCACTTTGGTCTTTAATTACAAAATTATCGTCGGCTTTTAATTGTCTATACCCTAAAACATATTTTTTGTTTGAAAATATACCAGATATTAGTGAAATAGGTATTGAAAAAATTATCTCTCTTTATGAGACTAGTAAATTACGCTTTAAGCAAATACTTATACAAAATGTATACAAAACTAAACCTCGAGTAACTTCTGGACGTCGTGAGCAAAACATAAATAGGTATACTTATGCCCAACTTGAAAGCATAAAAAAAACAAAAAAGTAACCTTATTGCAATACCTGCTCAATCAATTATTTAACATGAAACTTCACAGCGATATCATTATCTGAGCTTTCAAAACAGATATATTGTGTTACTACACAAGAAGAAAGGGATATACTTTCTCAGTTGTTTGTACGTGAAAAGCAATTAACTGAAGCTAAAATTGCGAATGTCTTGCTAAAACTTGAAAAAGTCTCTTCAGATTGGGATGATGAAAGAGTTAGACATTACTATAATAATAATAAATATAAAATGCTTAAATAAAGCAATGTTAGTATCTATTTATAAATAAAAAAGCATAATTAAAGTATAATTTTACTAAAATCCTAATGTTCAACCAGAAGTTCAACAAACTTTCACATCGATCTAAAATTCGTTCATCTTTATAGAATCTAAGAAATAAAGATTTAAAAGTAAAATTTTTTATTAGCTTTAGACCCTTTGTTTGTTGTTTTTAATAAAGAATTTTCTTTTAACCTTAATAAAAAGCTATAAAACAAAATTTAAAAATAAAAAAAGCTATGATCGACTTTAAATTAATTCCGAATCTACCTTATAAAAAAGTACCTTCTAGTAATTATCCAGATGCTATAAGTAAAGTGTCTTTGCTTCAATAATTAAACTTGTAACGCTTCTTATTTGCGCTTATAACAAAAAAAATTAGACCCGTATAAGCAGTATTTAGATGAAAATTTTAAACTTTGAAGTAAAAAAATTGTCATTTTTTTGACTGATTTTATTTTATATAAGTTAAAATAAAGGTATATTTTTTTTATATAGAAAAAAAGCATAAAACTCAAAAAGTAAGCCTATTTAAAATCTAAATATTAATTAGAACTTTGTTATTAAATTATTCTTTAAAGAAAGTTATGATGATTTATATTACACAAAAATTTACTTAATGAAAATCATCAAATAGGACATGTCCCTTGACTGTTAAGTTATTCTGATTTAAAGTTTTAAAAAAATTTATTAAAAAATATTTGCTTAATTTCTATTGACTTAACTTATATATTGGCACTATCATATGTCAATCATTTAAGTATTAAATAAAGTCTGGGGCAGGTGCTATACCCCTAATATTAAAATATATATATATAGAAATATTATATTTATAACACCATGTTATTATAACACCTTATATAGTTTAAGTTTGAATTAGATTAAGGTTAGAGTGTAGCTTTAAGATATATAAGTGTTTTTTATATAATATAATATATATTAGATATAAGATTCTAATTTTAATTTTTGTGAGGTTTTTATAAATCCTGAACATTTTTACTTAAGATACCCGATCCCATTTATTTGATATATTTTTGAAATATAGTATAGAGTTAGTATAGGGTGTTATATAATACGGTGTTATGAATATATCTTTCTATATATATATATTTTAGCAAATATTTTATTAAATTTAATAATTTTTTTATTTATTTTAATTTTACATAAAAGAAGTATTATTTATTATCTAATTTTTTTAGCAAAAGAATAGATGCCAAAATTTTTTTTTTTTTAATTCTTTGACAGTCTTGTCGGTGCTCAAATACAAATTATATTACTATTAGACTAAAAACACAGTTTCGATCTCTAATAATATCTAATTAAAAATTGCAAGCCCGGCATTACCCGGCTACATCATGTGCACCCAGATGCGACTTGTCGCACCAACCCACATGTGGGTTGGAAGACCTTGCCAGCTCTATCAAGAACTAAACCAAAATGGGGTTGAACCATTCTCAACCCATTCAGCAACACCCTCCTCAAACAACTGCATAACTTCTGCTTCCTTCACCTTACTTGTTGACTCAACTACACCGCTCGTCTCACCTTTACTCTTGTTTTTCCTGACTCTCGATGTTGGACTTTTATCGGTAACGACACCCTCTCTAACGGTGCTTTTCAGGTTACTTCTCTTTATCGCTATATCTATACCAATTTCCTTTTCCCACTCAGCAACTGCGTTACATCTGATTCGCCAAATTTTATTGAGAAAACTACTTTTCGCAAGTGCTGCATAACTGCCAAGTGCCAGGTTTACAGTCTTTTTAGGTAGCTCCAAATCTAACAATTCTGCCACCGCATCATCAGGTATAAGCCCTCTTATGTAGTCTCTTCTCCGCTTGAACCTCTTCTCAGTTGTAGCACCACCAATTACTAGACCAAACCTCTCAACAAATATTGTCCGCTTATGTGCATGGTCTAACTTCTTCCATGCGAGTAAGCATGCAACCTCCTCTACAGTACCCCAGTAATTGGTATATCCCGTACACTCTACTAGATGGTCAGAATCTTCTTTTGCACACTTACAACTTATGCATGTATCGTCTATGTATACTTCAGATTTTCTTCTCCTCAGTACCGTCAAAACTAGTAAACTGTTATTGATACACTTAATTTGGAAGGCTATCTTCCTGCTAGCTATGTGTGACTTGCATCTAATTCCAGTTGCTTTCTTATTCTGTCGCCATAGCACCTTCCAGCTACGATTTAAGTCTGCTTTACTCTCATATGACCTGATAGCATTTGAGTTGTGCCACTCTGCACCAGTTTTGAAACTCATCAACGTCTTGATTAGTTTTCTTGTTGTAACTTCTACTAGTGTCTCGTTGAGATAAACTGAAAATCTTTTACGACGATTTTTCTCCAAGAGTAATATTGAGCACCAATTTAAGCGAGCACCTTCTTTAGCCAATTGATTTGCTCTTTCATTCTATTTTACCTTGTTATGTGCTTTTACTTTAACCAACTGAAGGACTATACCCTTTGACCTACATATATCTTTAATCTTCACTACTAAATTAGTGTTCTGTTTCTTACTCCACACTCTTATATCTGTTAGCATCATTGAGTCCTCCAGACTTGAAATTGCCACAGCACTATCTAATTTGACTACAACCTCACTTCTGCACCTAGCTGTCAACACTACCATTAACACTGCAACTAGCTCGGCCTTTGTTGACGATGGCCATTTCCCAACTCTGATTTTTCCCTCCTCAAGTACCTTTTCCTCCAACTTGTCTACCTGCACCCATCCTGCACCCATCCTACAATCTACACTACTTCTAATCAAAGACCCATCCGTATAATATACACTACTATCTAAATTTCTACTAAAGTTTCCCTCCACTTGCTGTATCAACAGCACCTCAAGCTCTTGATCAAAACCCTGCTCTATAATTAAACTTTTTTCATAAGAGTCATTTATTACTATACTACATATCTCTCCTTCACTTTTTCTCTTAGTTAAACCACCACTCTCTGACTTATAACCTTTGATCTCTCTTAGCAGCAATGGCACCTTCCCTTCGTCAACAGTATTTATCTTGGGGATTGCTCCTAACACCCTATTCCTCTTCACCCATTGTTGGCACATATCGATCCCATCTATTTGACTCAACTTACAACGTTTGCACTTTCTCAAAATACCTTTACTATAGGTTGAAGTCTCAGGTCCGCAGTGGTCAACTAACACCTGTGACTTTCTTTTCTTCCTTATTCTACCAACTATTGACTCTGAATTCTCTTTGTTAATGATTACCCACTCACGACATCTTCGATTGTCAGACAACTTCCCTGCATTTGTTTGCATAAACATCAGATTCTCCTCTGACAACTTGAAATGGTCAATTATCTCTCTACTTTTCATATACCGAATTACCTTCTTCTCTATTATGCTAAACCATTTCGCTTTGTGTCCTTTCAATGTCTTTGTTCTTAATGCGCGAAGCTTATTCCATGTTATCATCCTCGTACCTGTTATATCTAGCAACTGATTTATGTAGAACAAGTTAAAGCTTCTAATACTGCTATAGTATCCACTATAGATTTCCTCTCCTATTACTTCAACTAATATTGAACCTGTGCCATAATCCTGCTACTCTTCAGTATTAGCATGGATCGAAACACCTAGCTCATTTGCTTTAACTAAAATTGACCCTGCTAGATTGTTCTTCAAGATCTTTTTGAGACAATGATTTTGAGATTTCGGCCAACTCTCTTTTACTAACCCTGCCAATATGTACTCCTTGTTTAGTCTTATACGTGTCATCTTTCCTACTTGATCTAATCTGTTAAGCCTGTTTTGCAAACATACTACTTGTTTGCTAAATAATTCCTGACTCAAGGATCTGCAACGGCCTAACCCTTGATGTATCACTATATAATTGCCTGCTGTTGCTGGCAAACCTATCTTGTTTTTAATTAGTCGCACTACTGGCTAGTATATCCTATCTATGCTTGCTTTAGTTATTTTCATTGCCTGTAACATATAAGCTAATTTTGGCACAATACACATATTGTTTACATAAACTAGTTGGCTGATAGATAGGCTTTTACACATTAATGTCCTTACAAAATGACCCACAATACCCTTTGCCTTTTTAACTACAAAGGTTTCACGTGAATTGGCACTTATCCAAACTCCCAAAAGCCGTGTTAGCGCTCTCTTCTCTTCAGCCTGTAACTTGTGCCCATCTACCTTAATTCATCTTTCACTCTTTTCTAACTTCAAATTAATCACTATAAGTTTGGACTTTGCACCGTTTATTCGAATATCATTGAACTTAAAGAACCTCTATACTATTTCCATTATTTGTGCAACTTGCGCTTTGTTTCTACCAATCCAAGTTGTATCATTAGCGAATGCAACTGCTGCTTGTCTTAATGCTTTAATATCTATGCTGTTCATCTGCAAATCTACATCTACTATATAACTTGAACTAACTTCATACCCTAGTTTCTTGTTATCTTAGCAATGGATCATAAAATATCCACCACACTAGCAGTAATATCGTCTCCCCTTGTTCAATACCGTCACCTGCCTCAAACTCTTCTGTAAGACCAAACTTGGTAATTATCTTGACTCTTTTTTCGTTAAACAGCTTGATAATAAAACTAATTATCTTGGATAGTAGCTTAACTCTGCATAATGCAGCATGAAGTGTTTTTAATAACACCGAGTCATACGCCTTCTTCATATCTTAAAGCATTAACCACAACTCCTTCTTACTCTCATGAGCATCTTCTACTACTATCTCAACTAAGTTGATTGCCTTCTCTGTTGAGCAACCTGGCAATCCTGCATAGTTCGTGCCACACAATACCTCATTTTCTACAAAAACTTTAGCTATTCTCTTCGTTAATAATCGGGTGATGCACTTTCTAAATGTCTCTAATAAGGTGATTGGCCTAATATTGTGAAGTTGAAAACCCCAGTTTTCGTCTTTTGGAATTGGGTATACTTGTACGAGCTTCCATTTATCTAGAATTCTACTTTCTGTTAAGCACAAGCTTGCGAATCTTCAAAATATTTTATGAACTTTGATACTGGCATTCTTGATTAATGTATATCTGATTCTAGTAGCTCTAGGTGCAGTTTTGTTTTTGGTTTTTTCGATCGCTGCTAACCATCATCAAGTGTGATTTCGTTTTCGAGCTCAACATACCACTCCTCTTTTATATCCTTGAGTGGTGTATAGAATTCTTCAAGCACTTCTCTATCCTCACACACTTCTCTCTCTTTGAACTGCTTTTGAAAGTGTACTGATGTCTTCAGAAGCACCTCATCTGTTTCGTTATAAATCATCCACTTTCCATCTTCTTTTTCTAATACTCGATCTATTTTAATCTTTCTGAATGGCTTGTCTAAAATACTTGCTAACATTAAACCAACTTCACCATCAATCTTTTCATATTTTCGAGTTATTGCAGCATCTATCTTCTTACACGTAGCTTTATCTATTTCAACTTTTTCTTGCACCCGTATTGCTTTCCAGCACACTTTTGCACTGCATACCCACTTATACAATGTCTTTTTTTCGTCTATTTTACAACTCAGCCCAGGTGTATATCTGCTTGGTGCATGTTATTAATCTACTCGATCTCTTTACAAAGCTTCTCAATATCAATCGACTGATCCCTATCAGTTGCAGATCTCTTAACCATCTGGATTATTTTACCTAGTTTGACTGTGCTTTTGTATAACTTGGTTGGCTTGCATTTTCTTGTTCTATTGTTTAAACTACTAGATACTTTCTTCTTCGGAATATTTTTATCTGCTGCTCTCCGAATTGCACCTGTACAATGAAGCAACAAAAGAGGATTGGAAACAGTATCAAGAAGATCTGGTAAAGCTAACTGTAGACAATCGAGCACTCACAAGATGTTGGACTCTGTCTACACCTGACAAACTCAATTTAATTTGGGACATTATAGCAGGTGCAATTTGGAGAGCAGCAGATAAAAATATTCTGAAGAAGAAAGTATCTAGCAGTTCAAACAATAGAACAAGAAAATGCAAGCCAACTAAGTTGCACAAAAGCACAGTTAAACTAGGTAAAATAATCCAGATGGTTAAGAGATTTGCAACTGATGGGGATCAGTCGATTGATATTGAGATGCTTAGTAAAAAGATTGAGCAGATTAATAACATGCACCAAGCAGATATACCTGGGCTGAGTTGTAAAATATATGAAAAAGAGACATTGTATAAGTGGGTATGCAGTGCAAAAGTGTGCTGGAAAGCAATGCGGGTGCAAGAAAAAGTTGAAATAGATAAAGCTACGCGTAAGAAGATAGATGCTACAATAACTCAAAGATATGAAAGAATTGATGGTGAAGTTGGTTTAATGTTAGCAAGTATTTTAGACAAGCTATTCAGAAAGATTAAA